TATCGAATTGTGATTTTCGTAAAAATGAATGAAACAGAATTTGAGGAGTATGTATTATAGTTGATTGGGAAATAATAACCTTTGTCCGTTCAAATCCTCTATTGTGGAAAAAACGTATAAAAGTTGATAAAAAAAACAAAGATACTATTAATAAAGCGTTTTCGCAGATTAGTTCCCTATTTTCAAAGCCATTGACAGATAAGGAAATATAGTTAAAGTAATATATTATTAATAATATTATAAGTTCTACTCTTCTATGCTATAGAAGTATGATTGCATACTGATTATTGGTTATTAGCAAAATGAGTTTATATTAGGTGTACAACTTTGCTTCCGCCGTTTTTTTCCGAAATTCGAGGTTTTATTGTAAAAAACTGGTTATACATTTATGATTCAAAGTATTGTCCATCGCTGGCCACTACTTTCCCCAATCTTTCGGGCAGCGTACGAATCCCGCGTCGAAAAGGTGTGCCATTGATCGAAACAAGTGATAGTCAGAGGGAGCAACGTCTGGAAGGTGAGGTAGGACTTCCCAGTTCAACGTTTCTTCAAGTATGTCTTGACCACTTTCGCAACATGGTCATGCTGCAAAATCAATTTATCGTGTCTCTCGTGTATTGCGACCGTTTGTCTTTCAATACTCGGCTCAAACGCATCAATTGCGTTCGATACTGATCGCCTATGATTGTTTCAGTCGGTTTTAACAGCTCATAATATACTACGCCGAGTTGGTCTCACCAAATACAAAGCATGACTTTGGAGCCGTGAATATTTGACCGTCGACGGAAGCATGGCCGGGAACTCCCCATGATTTTCTGCTTGGGGTTATCGTAATGAATCCATTTTTCGTCCCCAGTCATAATGCGATGCAGAACCTTCCGTCTTTGCCTTTCAAGCAGCTGTTCACAAGCAAACAAACGCCGTTCAACATCTCTCGGCTTCAACTCGTACGGCACCCAATTTCCTTGCTTCTAAATCATTCCCATGACTTTGAGGCGTTTTAAAATGGCTTGTTGAGTCACTCCCAATGATCGTGCCAATTCTTCTTGATTTTGACACGAACCTTGATCAAGTAATGCCTCCAATTCTGCATCTTCGAAAACTTTCTCTCTTCTACCGCTATGCTAGTCTTCGACGTTAAAATCACCGTTCTTGAAGTGTTGAAATCACTTACGACACGTTCTTTCACTAATAGCGGCCTCATCATAAGTATTTGAGAGCATTCGATGAGCCTCAGCCGCAGATTTTTTCATATTGAAGCAGAAAATTAAAACCTCCCGCAAATGACGAGAATTTGGCTCGTAAACAGACATTTTCAATCGAGAATAACTTTATGATGAGAGACACAAATCGACTAATGTTTCTATGGGGTTATGTTGACAGAGCCCAAGTTTATTATATGACATCTATGATCTATTTATTTCGACCACCACTTACCGCTAAAGCCATCTATAGGCGGAAGCAAAGTTGTACACCTAATATATTTAGTCATCTCCCTATAATTAAATGCATATTGAGTAAGTGATGCAGGTTCTACTCAGTGGAAGAGTCTCCGAGACCAATATTCTAGAGAAATGCCTAAGATAATTGCCTCGAACACAGCCTCGTTCTAGTGCTGGAAGTGACGAATGCTAGAAGTCAACATGGCTTCTATTTAATGAATCATCATTTCTCAAGGATGTCATTAAATCTAGAAAGTAAGACCAGTGGCAATGATGTTAGAAGATAGTTTAGAACAATAACCATGGTGAAAAGAATGACAAACAGAAAAGTTATATGTGAAATCGATTGCATATGCACGTATGATGCATATGCATTTATATGCATTGTGTCCTCTACTAACGTTGCATGTTATTTAAATATACCTTATGATAATTATTAGCTAATGACATATAAAAATATATATTTTGTTAAGTTTTTTGTGTGTTTTAATCACAATTAATTAATTCGCTTATTGTTCTTGTCTTATTGCTTACAGTTTACAGTGAAGCATATGTCACTTATACATATGTCTTACTTAAATCTACTCATGTTATTGACTTGGTTTAATCATATTCAAATTTTCTTGATCATTGTTTTTCTAGGACGCAATCGAATGTCAGTAGTAAAAAATTAAAGTCATGTAAAGACACACAAATGATAGTTCTGCTAGCAGCATTGTTATTCCATCTACTTATTCCATCTATCTATTCCATCCACTTGTAAAGAAAATGAAACGGTCATTTAGACACTTAAAGATGAGCAATATCTCAACTTATGGAATATACAGGAACAGGATGAAAATAAAGAAAATATGAGTACAGTAATTGCTGAATTACCTAAAGAAGATGCAGCATCAACATGCTCGTCGGGTATGTTGTCTTCTGTGAGTCACTGGTCCACTATTCCTCCATCTGATCATTTTTACAATAAAAAGAAGGCTGCAGTAGATAAAGAGCGCAATTCAAAACTGCAACAAAATTAAGTTCTACCTGCGATACTATTTGTGCCATCTTAACACGACCTCAGAGTATTCAAACTGCCTCCGTTTGCAGAGGACCTGCCCTGGCCTTAATTAAAAACGATCTTAAGAATATTGCTTCAAATGTGCAATTTAAATATCTGAGCGAAATTAGTGCTTGATAAGTATTCTTTACTCTTTTTTCTAAATCACTTTTTCTTTTATGCAATGTTTCTTTTTAAGGTTGTTATACTAAAAGTATAAATATTGAAGAGTTCTATCATATATTCGTTTTATTCTATATAATTTATGATACAAAAAAAATGTTATCTTTTATTTTATAGTTTTTATAATATATCATATATTTATCATATATTTTTATATCACTTTTTCTCTCTTTGTAGTTTGATAAATGAAAACAGTATTCATGTTCATTTCATTTAATTAATAAAATATATGTTAACAAAGTTAATATGTGTTATATTATATTAATCAATTAATATTAGATTAAAGATATCAATCAATGTTTTATTAATCGTTTATTAGAAACTTACATATATGTTGGATTCATAATTCGTGCATATAGTTGAATAAATAACTATAAAAGCTAAATAAATCAAATCATCATCTTTTTTTATTTAGATTATCGAGTTTTCTATACAAAAGAATTGATATCTTAATATTCATGAGGCTTCTACGAGTGCTTTCTATATAAAGATTATGCGTTTCGCGGGTTACCTCCGTGTTTATCTGCTCCTCGCCTTGATGAAGTGGACTGCAAGGTTCATGAAACGTTGGCTTTCCAAGAATGGATCTGAACACGGAGAAATCCGCGAACCGCATAATCTTTATATAAAATTGATATTTTATTCAGCTTGCAATACCGCTTGCAATACAACGATAATAGAAACCTTTTTACAACCATTTCTTTTGTTAAATCATAATCTTTTGTTAATAAATTCATAATATAGTAATTGTACAATCAAAAAGGAGATGATGTGGGATACATTGGATATTTTAGCAGACCAAAATGGGACTTGGGCTTCCCCTTGGGATTCTGTTACAAAATATTCCCGTAGCACATCACATTAGACACATGCAGCAACATCTGAATTATTGTTAGACAGTCGACCAATAGTTTCTATCAGATCACTCTGTTGTCCATGTTCTCGCCAAGCTCTTCCCAATACCACACCATCGGCTATTTCTCTGTCTATAAACTATCTATGGACAGTATCTCCTGTAAACTGGCACAATTTCTCTTTCTATTGTCATAATAAAATTGTGAAGACAGATTAACGCTTTGACCAAATGATCAGCATTTTCTGGAGAATAGCATAAAGGTTTTGTAAGGATTCGCCATTTTGACACTAAAATGCCAAAAGCATTTTCAATTACTCGACGTGCTCGTGACAATCGTGACAATTCATTCCTTATCAGTCAATTGAGAACGAGGATGGACGCAGCAAATACTTTTTTTTTACTAGGGAGAAAGCTTCGTCACCTACAAATGCATATTCTATTGCTATTGATGTACCAGGCAATTTTTTCTTTGGAGGCACATCAAGCAAACCACCATGAAGAAACTGAGCTATGTCCGAGTGTGCCCAAACTAATACTATCGAATACCATCACTAATACTATCGAATTGTCCTACATCTATCACTGTAACCTTATAGTTTGCATCACATGCAGCCATTAAAACTAATGAAAAATATTTTTTATAATTTTAATATTGACTGCCAGAATTTGGAGGATACTGAATATGAATGTGTTTCCCATCCAATGCCCCAATGCAATTAGGAAATTGCCATTGTTGCATAAATTCATTAGCAATGTATGTCTCCATACTTCATGCGTTAGTTGCGGCAGATAAAGAGATTGCAGCACATCCAATATATTCGACACACTTCAGGTACAATTTTGAACGCCGTTGATCTCCCAATTCTAAATTCAGCTTTTTTTGAAAACATGCTGTCCCCTAAGTTAAATAGCTGAATAAAAAACTATTTAAGGATACACATTGAGTCAAAAGTGAGATTAGGCACTAAGAACATAATCTATACTTACGATAAGGTCAAAACCAGCCTTCACTCTGGATGAATGATGACGACTCTTCGTTAACAGTCGAGGGCGAACAAGTTCATAGAGATTTCTAAATTGATGTGGCCACATTCTGGTCCTGGCAAAAAATTCTTCGTGATCTGTTTCCATTAGTTCATGAAAATAGGTTTATTTTACCAATTAAATGGAACCCTTTGGAATTCCGTTCACTAGTCGCACCCACCATCTATAGAGATAATATGTTTACAAATTGAGAGCAAAGTTGTAAAAACTGCATTAATATTCTTTGTTGGTCCATTGTAACCTAGCTTCTTCTTCTTCTTCTTCTTCTTCTTCTTCTTCTTCTTCTTCTTCTTCTTCTTCTTCTTCTTCTTCTTCTTCTTCTTCTTCTTCTTCTTCTTCTTCTTCTTCTTCTTCTTCTTCTTCTTCTTCTTCTTCTTCTTCTTCTTCTTCTTCTTCTTCTTCTTCTTCTTCTTCTATATTTGAATGGCCCAGGTTCCGGTGCAGTCGAATTAACATGGCCAGTCTTACTCAATACGCCTCCAACCTTCCACAGGAATTCCTCAGGAAGAAAAAGAAATGAAAACAGGACTACTGTGAAATTTCCGGAGTTTGAAACAGATGAAGCAAATGCTACGCAAACTCTCCCCCCCCCCCCCCCCACGAAACGCCACGAAAGGGAACCGCAGAAGGGAAGAGAAAGAGGGAGCGAGCCCCGGCAACCGCTGGCGCAGCAAAGTTCACATGGAAATATCAATAGTCTTAAAAAAGGAGAGGAGCAGTCTGCAGAGTTTAGATATTTCAAGACAGGAAAAATGTCTGGAGGGTTTTGAGGGTAGAAATTCTTAAGATAAGCAGACAAAGGTGCGAAGGATTTGTTCCTAGAGCGGACAATTAAAGATGATATAGTTGGCATCCTGCCTAGGGCCCTCGCATGGACACGCTAGTGAATCTACTATGTTCTCTCTAAAGAACATGGTAGATTCATTAGCGTGCCCATGAAGACTGTAGTTAAAATTATAGTGGTTGGATCTCAGTCTGTTGATCAATACTATCTTGCTTCTATTAAGGGGAAATTTAAAGTATCAGAATTTTATTGACTCTGATGGATATAGAGTGGAATAATGCGCGCCAGTATCTCTGACTTTGCTTTCAAAATAGTTGTGAAAGCGCAGCTGCGATCTAGATCTAGCCTCCGCTTGAAGGTCCAGGTAGGGAGTTAAAAAGAATCCTCTTGGGCCCGAGGAACATGCCTCCTTAGCCGCTTTATCAGCCACCTCATTCCCTAGAATACCCTTGTGCGCCGGAATCCAAAAGAGAGAGCATTTGATATCGCTCCTCTTCAATTGCAATAAAAATTGTTCGATTCTGTGAATAATTGCCATTGACCAGCTTAACCGAGTTGATAGCCTCCATGTTCCGAGAGTCGGAAAAAATTATGATTTTAAAGTAACCCGCATCTAGTGCGAGGATTAGGGCCTGCAAAATAGCCCAGGCTTCCGCTGTATAATACCGAAGAATTCGAGGTTAATTTGTATTTAAAAGTAGTAAAGTAGTAACCAAGCTCTGGTGAATAGAAGGCTGCACCTGCGCAGCCATCCTCCGATATTCTAGATCCATCTGTATAGATTGTAAGAACTGTCAAGATCCCGGAAATTGTGACTAAATTCCTGAACGATTTCACAATTAGAACTATCTTTGCAGCATGTCAAAATTCGTGGAATTCTTTATGAAAGATAAAAGCCGAATAGTCGTGTTCAAAGGGTGGAACGAATTTTAAATAATGAAAAATAAAAAAGAGGTGGGGGAGATAAGGAGAATAGGGGGAAGGGGGTTTTTTGTGATTAAATTATAAAATGTGTTTAAATTAATATATAATATTTAGATATAGATTATTTTTATGATAAAATTTGATATAATAATTATATTTATAAATTTTATGATTATGTATAGAAATAGTATAATTATATTTTATTATAATTTATGTTATTTAGATTTATAATGATTTTTATATTTATATGTAAAGACGTAAAATGATTTAATATTATTATAGGGTTGGGGTCTAATTATTATTCAATAATATTAATAATATTAAGATTGTGAATTTTAGGTTTAATGCTGGAAGAGTGTAAGATCTACGCATGTACGCCAGTTCATGTTTGTTAGTGATGTAAAAGAAGAGGATTTCTTGAGAATGAGCGTTCTTTACTTATCAGTAAACAATATCCTCTCCAAACGCTTTAGATTATTAATGATCGGATAATTTTTTTTTGATTTAATAGAAATCTCTCACTCAAGAGATTAAATCTAAGTTTTAAAAGCAGTTCTCTTGTCTCACATAACATTATATTAATTGGAGTCGATTGTCTGTACCCCAGTGCCACTCTGATGGTCTTGTACTGCAATCTTTTCAATTGAAGGAAGATGTTGGAATTGCCATGCCAAGCAAAAATAGAGCAGGCATACTCTACGGCGCCCCTGAATACCGATTTGTAAATAGAGAGCAAGCACTGAGGATAGGAACCACACCATACAGCCGTGAGCGAGGAAATGATGTTGATAATTGCTCATCCCCTTTGAACAAGATATTTGAAGTGAAAATTACCTTTCATTCTGCTGTCCCGAGTCACTCCCAGAAATCTGACTTGCTCAGTCCTTGGAATGGTGTTCCATCATAAGCAAATGGTTAGTGAATGGTTTGTTCTTTTTGAATGTGAAGACCATCCATTTGGATTTGGAAGGGGAAAGGTCCAAGCCTCTGTCGCTAAAGAAGATTGCAACATTATCCAGAGTTCTTTGCACCTTGAAGAGCGCTTATAAGAGATTGTTATCTGCAGCAAAGATGACTATATCATCTGCGTATTGAAGAAATTTAGCTTCTTTTATAACGCATTAATCCTGCTTAAGGACATGTTCTCATATGTAGCAAGGTTAATGACATTCTTGTACTTTCGAACCAGGCAGTCAAACAAAGTTGTCAGATGTTCTCCGCCGTAGTTAATGTATTTTAAGTAGTAATCTGTGCTCACAATTAACAAATTTGTCGTGTTCCTGACCGTAAGTAAAGGCATCTCGGTCTTGAACTTTTGCAGTCCTTTCCTACATGTTCCACTCTGTAGCACACATAACATATTCTGATCTTGGGCATATACGATTCAACGGCATATTTAGCGTTAAATAAAGTGATGTTTCCAGGCAATGACTGTCCTGCGAACTTGATACAAAGAGTTCTAGAAGGAATATAAATCGTTTCATGATTTACAGTCATGCGTCAATCTCTGAACCTCTAAAATTTTAACCGACGATCGATTACTGTCCTTGATGTATTCTAAGAAGAGTGATCTATACCCTTTACGATACCCGTTCTGAGAACGCGATACGATGGAATGAAAGCCCTAATCTTGTATTTTTCAAAAGCGGGGTTGGTAACTAAGAGGTTAACGGCTTTCGCCAATCTAATCTCTACTATGGTCTTGCCACTACCTAGTCATTTGATGAATAAAATATCCGCGTTAGCAATCTCGAATATTATTTTGGATAAACAGAGAAATGTATGACGGAAGATTTATCTGAATACATATAAACCGATGCATAAGGCGATTTATCCGTGTCGGAATAAAGATAATTAGACTTGCGTGGTACAACCTTATTGGGCTGAAACATGACGGACCCATCAACGCTACTAACCTAATAGCGATTGATTGACTGTCGCAAACAATCTTTGCGACTGTTGTAGACGCTCATTGAGCGATACTTACGACATGTGACAAATTTCCCTATGACGTTACTACTTGCGACAATCCCGCTGACATCACTCGAACACCACGTAAGAGAATATGAAATTCGGCCAGTAAATTGTGCGCGCTCATATCGTGAACTCAGGAAATACTTAAACAAACATTAATACAAACACTAGTATCTCCAGAATAGGTAAAACATAAACCGTGCTAGGTAACCAAGAGTTTAAGTACGATAAAATATTAGAACATAGCGTCCAACATTTTAAAATAGAGGGGGGGAGGTGTTACGTCCACACGACAATTCTCTTTCTTACTAGCATTACTAGTGTAAACAATTGGCGACTTCTTGTCCCGAATCTAGGCCTGGTCTCGCCTCCGAGTTGGTAGACTTCCTGCCATTGAGTTACACAGCCTTGACGCTGGTGATTTCTCTGTTGTGCTTATAACTGCCAATAAATTTCTTACAGTTCGGCCAGCCTGACATTACATCCGACCCAGATGATCCAGATCACAATATTGGATATTAAGTCCTTATGCACACGAAGTCCCTATATAAGCTCGACCCGCCTGACAACATATCCGACTTGGAATGTATCCATGGCATTTTTTCCGCTATAATCAGGATCTTCTTCCAGAAGTCGTCGAGTGTCTCCTTAGGCACAACTGCCATCTACTGGATAACAACTCCGATTCGTGTTTCTAGGCATCCATCAGTCATCTTGAGCGCTTTGTTATTTTCGAATCCGATATTAGGTCCGACTCCGAATTAACCATGATTAACAAAAATATTAATTTCTAATCCTCTCTCCCAGAGGGATAGCGAGTTGAATCCCACTTCTGAAGCAGTAAACAATTGGCGACAATAGAAAGAAATATCAGGGCACTCCTCCTCTTGAATACAGACTTGGCCTCTCCTCCGAGTTAGTAGACTTCAGTTCTACCACTGAGTCGCACGCTGGTTTCTCTGTTGTGCCTATATCTGCTAGTAAATTTCTTACAACTAGAGCGACGCCACCCCCCGCATAAGAGCGATCCGAGCATCACAGCGGTGAATGCATCACCACATAAGAGATCTATCTTAAGGCAAGTTTCCCCCCTCAATTACGTAAGAAAATGCGTAGGAATAGGACGCCAACTCTTTTCGGAAGGAAGCTTCTCTCGCTCTCTCTACTTCCGGACTTCCAGACTAAAATCTAGCTGTTAACGACTCCTGCTGAGCCACACAAACGTAAGACACACGCTGTCCAGTTAAGTATTGTTAATCTTACCCAATCCCTCCGCATCTTCATTCACATTTTCTCAACGAGCTTCCTCAATGCCTTGTAATTTTTTTGCTAGTATCCTATAAATTATATTTTAACATTAGTAATTGCGTGCTAATAAATTGCGTTCTAATAAATAACACTTAGTAATAATATAGTATAGTATAATAAATAACATAATTCAGTACCACGTATTCCTAACAAACCAAATATATATCACACGCATGTAGAAATACTTTTAGTAAAGATTTTAGTAGGAATAGTAATCGCGAATAAAAATCGCGGCCGTTCTGCGACGTAACATTATGTACTACCATACTAATATCTCACCTATGATATACGCAGTCATACATTCGTGTAATTTTCGTATAACAAATTCGTCGCGATGAAGCGTCTCAGTCTAATTCTAAAAACTCGACGTTATTTGCAAACTACATGTTCGTTAATTATCATTTCATAAATACAGGTTGCAAAACTTTCGTATCAAGCAAATGTTGTCACGACTTGATAGCTTGAGACGCCATGTTACACTAAGAAATGATAGAAAATATATCAATTTCGAAATTTTTTGTCTTTTTCGGCATAAACTTCACCTTACAAACACGTATTAATGCGTACTTTAATTCTGGAAAAGGATTTTCGAATCTGTGAAAGAGAAAAAAAGTATTTGTTATACAAAAATTACATGATTTAATCAGTAATACAAACGGCTTTAGGATCCTCTTAATGTAGAAATTTCACGAACTTTTGCAATATTCATTCAGTATCGTGCTGTTTAGTGGTATCCATTAAAGCGTTCGCTAGCTGCTTAGTTCGCCGCTTCTAACGGTGCGAATTGCATGCCTTATGTTGGACATCTAGAGCGCATCGTTTAAAAACTATTGATATCACAACATTTTGCTATTGATATTTTCGATTTTGTCGTAAGAAATATGTATGTGTCCATACGGGTGGTCTGGATTACCATGCGTGCGAGCGTGCGTGCGTGCGTGCGTGTGTGTACAAGGTGTCTCTTAAGATGGGTCGGAGCCACATTGGGGGCGGAGAATGGATCAAAGGGAACAAAAAATATACCATTTTGAAATACTCACTGTAGTTTTCGAATTAGAAAAGAAAATGTCTAAGCCAATATGCGGTTAAGTCGCGCCACGTGAATTCGTAGGACAGCCCACACTCGAGCAGCGGCGACGGTGGCGCGCAGGGAGGAGGAAGAAGCGCTTCATCGCCTCATTTAAAGGATTTTTTGGTAAAAATACGACTTTATTGTAAAAAAATGGTTACAAATTGATCAATTATTATCAAAATTATTATTCAAAATATTATCTATCGCTAGCCACTACTTTTTTTCATCTTTCTGGTAATAGGTTCCACGTTGAAAGAGCGACACATCTTTTAAGATTATCCACGAATCGACCCATTTTTTGGTATCTTAATAAGAATGGAAGCGCTGCTCAAACAGGCCATGATCGATGACATGAATCATCGATCGAAATAGGTAATAATCAGAAGAAGCAATATCTGGAGAATACGGCGGGTGTGATAGGACATCTCAGTTAAGCACTTCTAACATTTCCTTGATTGGTTTCGCAACATGTGGCCGCGTTGGTCGTACTGGAAAATCATTTTGTCGTGTCTTTTCGCGTAATCTGGCCGTTTTTGCTCGGCTCAATTGCATCAATTGTTGTTGATAGCGTTCCTCAGTGATGGTTTCATTGGGTTGGAGCAGTTCATAATACACCTAGCTGATCCCACCAAATACAGAACATGAGCTTGGCGTCATAAATATTCGGCTTTGCCATCGATGTTGATGGTTCGCCTGGCCTGCACCATAATTTTTCGCGTTTCGGATTATCGTAGCGTATCCATTTTTCATCACTCGATACGATGCAAAAAACTTTTTCTTCTATGTCTTTGAAGCAACAATTCACAGGCCATTTTGCGCCTTTTGACGTTCCTCGGCTTCTCGGCACTCAATTTCCTTGCTTTTAAATCATTCCAATGGCCTTCAAACGTCTGGAAATCGTTGATCGATCAACATTTAATGATTCCGCAAGTTCTTCTTACGTTTGACTCAGATCTTGATCGCGTAAAGCTTCCACTTCCTCATCTTCAAACTTTTTCGACTGACCTGGACGTTCCTTGTCTTCCTTGTCAAAATCATCTTTTTTATAACGTTGAAACCAATACACATGTTGAAATCGCCATATAGAATATAATCACCATAAACTTCCGACAGCATTCGTTGATTTTCAGCAGCACTTTTCTTCAAATAGAAGCAAAAAAGCAAAGCTTCCCGCAAATTGTGTTTTGTTAGCACAAAATTCGACATATTCAATGCTCAAAAAAACAATGTTATTTACACTTCGGCATATTCTGAAAACTAAAGCCACATGGTGCTTTGAACATGAAAGTAGCAATAATATGGTCCGATGCAATAGTACCAGTTACGCTATTTCTTGAAAATCCTTTAAAATTAATGCACACTCCCAATACTACTAGACTGTTAATTCCTTAAGACAAGCTTATGCGAAATTGTGTGGTAATTCTGCGCATGCATCACAAATATATTCAAAGGAATGTAGTATGGCTGTGTTTTGCATCAATTATTCACATGCTAAACATATAACCTTAGACTGCATTTTCATGCTGACGCTCGATTTGAGCGACAAACTGATCATGTGATTGAAAACGCTTAAAGCTTAACTGAGTTCAGCTTTGATGCTCAATTCGAATGTCAAACAGATTACGTGATCAAAATTGGCGAATATCAAGCATCAATTTTGATCACATGACTTGTTTTGACGCTGAAAATGAGCATCCAACGTCAGCATAAAAAAGCAGCCTTATAAAAGTGTAATCTCATAGCAAAAAAATACTGTTTCTTTTGGAAGAGAAAGTATAGTGATTTCATAGCGAAAAATTTTATTTCTTTTGAAAGAGAAAGAGTACAAGTAAAAAGATAAAGATATTGAAAAAGCAATTGAATATTAATAAATGTGTATAAAAGATGCAACCTTATTCAAATGCAATCTTCAAATCCTATTCATCTTATAAATTAGAATAATTTATAATAGCTGGATTATGAAAATAAGTATTTGATGGTTTTAATACTATTAAATAGGTTAACCTGTCAAAATAGTGTGCTTATGTGTGCGCATATGCAGATATATGTCACAGTTCTTGATGCATGTGTATAATAACACGCATGCGTATTACATCAAAATTGGGGATCACTTTTTCAGTCTAGTAGTATATAGAAGTGATCCACCTAAACTGTCAATTTCCAGTTTCAAGCTACGAAGAGAATGCTTAGGTATATATGCCATTGATGTATTCACATATAAGTGTATTCTATGCATTAAATATGCGTGTGCATGTACGTGCGTGCGTGTATTAACACCTGTAGTAGACATTCATTAGATAATTAATACAATTATTTTGCGAAAATACATTCCATTTTCTGAGATCATATATTACAATTACAGTTATAGTGGTTCACATTGTTTTATAATTTATATAGATTATTACTATACAAATTACAGTACAGTAGTACAATATTTTCATTATTACTATACACATCCATGTATAAAAATTCATAGATATATCATTGTAATATTACCTTACTTTATAGCATTAATAACATATTTTATTGTCCAAATTTAACAAGTCAAATAAAATAATGTTTAACATTTAATTATTTTTGTATCTGCAATATTGCACAGATTGTTTTCGATAGCAAAAAATTATAAAATATATAAAGATATTTATTAAACTAATTAAAAAGTTATGTGGATTTAATAATAATACATGAAATATGAAATATACAATAATATACAATAGATTTCATAAAATAGTATAAACTTAGATTATAATTTATTAATATCATTGTATCATTTTCGTTATACAAATTAATATTAAAATATACGAGGGCTGTATTCCAAAATTCACTGCCAGTGCTGAAAATGTATAGTATATGTAACGTAAACTATAGATTTTCAGCGTTGGCAGAATTTTGGAACAGCCATTTGGCTGTTAAAATTAGACCATTTTAATTTATTCAGACAATTTTCTCAAAATCTTTAAGTTTTGCCGGATCAACAGAATTTTGAAAAAATATATCAAACATAATGTCAGAACAATTTTCAAGCTTCCAAGGCATTTACTCAGGCAAATCTTGAAAAATCCTAAAAACTAAAGGCCTCTATTCAGTTCTGCAGGAGTATATAAAATATCTTACTCTTGCAGGAAAGTATACATCGATGAAACTGGGAGAATGATCAATGTGTGCATGAAAGAATATCAACGGGATATCAGAAATATATCAGCATAAATCAGCATTAGCTAAACACAACATTGAGTCAGGACACCAAATATTGTTTGAAAACGATTCTACAGTTACAACGGCATATTTTCTACGAAAGTACAGAGAGGCTTTGGAAATTCAACATCCAGATAATTTAAACAGAGACATGGGCTATAATGTAAATAAATTATAGAAAACAGCTCTTCCCCTTCTTCCCTCTCTCCAAACATTTCCTCCCCCATAACAGAGTTTGTATAAAAGGAAATCTCTGGAGGAGCAACTCAGTTTTAGCTCTCCTCATCCTAATAAAGTAAACAGTATTATTTACGAAAACATTGACAGCGATGAATCATAACATGGCAAAATCATTGGCACCTCTGAATCTTTAAGTTTAAAAAAAATATATTTCAGAAAAGTTGTTTAGTTACGAGAGGGAGAATAAAGATGGTGATCTTGGATGTTTGACCTTGAGAAGATGTCCTTTAGGTCAAGTCAAGGTTATCTAAACCTTTTAAATAGAATTATATTATAATTTTAATGTAATATAATATTATAATTTTTAAATAGAATTATATAATTTTTTTACATATGATTTCTCTAATTATTCTATATATGAAAGTATTAAATAAAAACCAATAGTTAGCTAAATATTTTATATTTTATTCTGACACATATTGACATGAAATATTAAATATCTCGTAAACTATTGATTTTTGTGAAAAACATTTTTATTACAAAGATTTTGAGAAAATCGACTGGATACATTAAAATGGTTCA